AAAAAAAAAAAATGAAGCTGGGCACCAGTGATTCAGACCTGCTCAGGAGGCTAAGATCAGAGGATTACAGTTCAAAGCCAGCCCAAGCAAGAAGGTTCAGGAGACTCTTATCTCCAATTAACATCCAAAAAGCCAGAAGCAGAACTGTGGTTCAAGTAGTGTACCCTTGAGCAGAAATGCTCAGGGACAGTGCCCAGTCTCTGTGTTTAAGCTCCAGGACTGGCATCAAAATAAATAAACGGCTGGGGCTGGGAAGGTGGCTCAGTGGTAGAGCGCTTGCCTTCCATGCCTGAGGCCCTGGGTTCAATTCCCCAGAACCATATAAGCAAAAAGACAAAAGCCGGAAGTGGCACTATGGCTCAAGTGGTAGAGTGCTAGCCTTGAGCTGAAGAGCTGAGGGGCAGCTCCCAGGCCCAGTGTTCAGTCCCCACGACCGGACCCCCAAAAAAAAAGAAAGAAAGAAAAAAGAAACAAATAAACGGCCATGGACAGCCAGCTCATACCTATAATTCTATCTTCCTTGAGTTCAAGCTTCAGTACAGACACTATTGTATAGTTGTACAAAGGGTTACAATGTTATAAGTCAAGTTATAAGCACAATACTTCTTTGTCAGTGTCAACCTCCCCCCTCCCATTTTTTTTTGTTCCAGTCCTGGCTGGTGCTTGAACTTAGAACATGGGTGATATCCCTGAGCTTTCATGCTCAAGGCTAATGTTACTGATTTTTGGTGATTAATTGGAGATGAGTGTCATGAACTTTTCTGGCTAGGCTGGCTTCAGACTGTGATCCTAGGGGCTGGGAAGGTGGCTCAGTAGTAGAATGCTTGCCTTGCATGCATGAGGCCCTGGGTTCGATTCCTCAGCACCACATAAGCAGAAAAAAAAAGCCAGAAGTGGCTCTGTGGCTCAAGTGGTAGCGTGCTAGCCTTGAGCTGAAGAGCTGAGGGACAGCGCCCAGGGTTATTATAAAGGCAATGGACAGAGTAAGTCAGGTAAGGAGTGCCTTTCTTGACAGGGGCTGGTGGCTCACACCTGTAATCCTGGCTGCTCAGGAGGCTGAGATCTGAGGATTGAAGTACAAAGCCAGCTGGGACAGGGAAGCCCTTTGAGACTCTTATCTCCAGTTAACCGCCCGAAAAGCCAAAGTAGAGATGTGGCTCAAAGTGGTAAAGTGCTAGCCTTGAGCAAAAGAGCTCAGGGACAGTACCCAGGCCCTGAGTTCAAGTCCCATGACTGACAGAAAAAAGAAAAAAAAGTACGTGTTTTTTTTTTTTCTTTTTTTGTTTTTGCCAGTCCTAGGGCCTGAACTCAGGGCCTGAGCACGGTTCCTGAGCTTTTGCTCAAGACTAGCATTCTACCACTTGAGCCACAGTGCCAATTCTGGCCTTTCCTGTTTATATGGTAGTGTAGAATTCAACCCAGGGCTTCATGCATGCTAGGCGAGCACTCTGCCACTAAGCCACATTTCCAGCCTGAGTACATTTTTTTTTTTATAATGTCATCCTTTCCCTCACTCTCTCCCAGTTTGTCCCTCCCATCCCACCTATAAGTTGTTTAGTTCATTTTCAACACTTCTTTTAAATTGGCAGTTAAAGAAATGTTTCTATGGCAGAATACTTGCTTATCGTGTCCAGTCCTCAGCACCACTACCCCCAGCTTAAATAAGGACAAAATTCCCTTTTGACACTTTTTTTAAGCTGGCTTTCACTGTGTGTCCAAGACCAGTGTTAACTTTTGTTACCACTGCCTCTGCCTCCCAAATGCTGGGGTTACAGATGTGTACCATCACTCTTAAGAAAATAGAGAGTTGGAACTCAGGGAAGCACTCAGTTTGCTTTTTTGCTCATGGCTCCTACTGTACCTCAAGTGTATTGCAAATTTTTTTGCCAGACTAGAGTCTTGGCATCCTATTGTATAGCTAGAGTTATGGCAGAGAGCCACCAATGTACATATGAAAACAAAAATTGTGTCCTAGGAACTGAACTCAAGGCCTGGGTTCTGTCCCTGAGCTTTTCTTTCTTTTCTTTTTTTCTTTTCTTGGTCATGGGGCTTTGAACTCAAAGCCTAGGTGCCACCCTAAGCTTTTGTGTTCAAAGCTAGCACTCTACCATTTTGAGCCACAAAGCCACTTGCAGTTTTCTGGTGGTTAATTGGAGATAAGAGTCTCTTAGACTTTAATCCTTGGGCTGGCTTTCTTCCAAAATCCTTAGCTCTCAGCCTCCTGAGTAGCTAAGATTACAAGGCGTGAGCCACTGGTGCCCAGCAAGGGGTTGCCCAGGCTGATCTCAAACTTGTGATCCTCCTAATTCATCCTCCTCTTTGATTACAAGCATGCACCACCACAGCTGCTAGAAATTCTTAATAGATCCAGCCCTGAACCTCAGAACCAAAACATAATGAGCTCTGCTGTACAGTGTAGAAAACAGAATCCCATGTCAGAGTACTTAGTAGTTTGGGACAGCCAGCCCCATGTGTATGATATAAAGTGAGCAAGGCTGAGGAAGCGTAACAGCAGAGAACAACAAAGTTAGTTCCTCTAGGAAAGGTTGTATAGTCTTTGAGATTGTAGAAGATTTTCACAAGCTGGATGGCATATACTTTTCCACCATAGTATGCTCTCTTTAGTTTCCTTGTCTCTGTTGGATTCTTCCTCATCCACCTACACTCAGAATTTTTCTTTGGAAGACGGACACAGGAAGAGATTTGAAAGTGAGATTCTACAACTCAAAATGCCCAAATTAAAGATTGAAAATATGCTTTTGTTCTTCATTGGTAGATATTTGGTCTTTTTCCTGATGAACATACTTTGATTTTTTTCTTCCCTTCTTATAATCAGCTTGCTTCTCCAGAAAAAGCTACATAAGTTTGAATTGGCCTGTTTGGCCAACCTTTGCCCAGAGACTGCTGAGGAGTCCAAAGCTTTGATCCCCAGGTGAGTACCAGTTGTGATCAGACTTGTATGTAGTATTAGATACATAATGTGCCAACATAGAATAAAAATTCCTTTGTTATTTAAAAAAAAATTTTGAGGCCAGTCCGGGGCCTGGGCACTGTTTTGAGCTGCTTTTGCTCAAAGCTAGCACTCTACCACTAGAACCACAGTGGAACTTCCAGCTTTTTCTGTTTATATGGTACTGAGGAAGAGGAATTGAACCCAGGGCTTCATGCATGCTAGGCAAGCACTTTACCAAGGTACAGTCTAAGCCGAAGAATTCCTTTTTTAACAGTGTATGATAATGATGATTTTATACCACACCTTGTGATATAGCAAGATAGAAAAACAGGGAGCTGGGTACATAGTCCCACTAGCATGCAAGAGGTACTTTGTTGGTTTCTGAAGCACCTGAAAAAAAAAAGGGCCAAGCACCATGACTTTATTGGTACTATAAAGGTCATGCACATAGGGATTACAATTACATGAGTCAGGTAATGAGTACATTTCATTTTGAATAATGTCACCCCTTTCCTCCATTTTTCCCTCCTATTCCTACACAAGTTGTATAGTTCTTTGTGAGTGTGTGTATGTGTGTGTGTGTGTGTGTGTGTATTTATGTGTATGTGTGTAGTGGGGCTTGAACTCTGGGCTTGAGCGCTGTCTCTGCACTCTTCAGCTCAAGGCAAGCACTCTACCACTTGAGCCACAGCACCACTTCCGGTTTTCTAGTGGTTTACTGGAGATGAGAGTCTCACGGACTCTCCTGCCCAGGCTGGCTTTGAACCGTGATCCTCAGATCTTAACCTCCTGAGTAGCTAGGATTATTACATGTGTGAGCCACCGGCGCCCAGCTCCAGCTGATTTATTTTTAATAGTATCTCACATCTACGCTTTTAGGTAGGCCACCACAACTACTTTGGCCACCACACCTGCTTTTTTTTTTACTATTTGAGATGGAGTCTTGAAAACTTTGTCAGGGCTAGCCTCAAACAGCAATCTGGTCTCTGCCTTCCAACTAGTAGTGATTATAGATGTGAACCTCCATGACTTATATTATTTCTCATAAAAACATAGCGTGTGTATTACTTATGGATACTATATGTGTGTGTGTGTGTGTATATATATAGTTTGTATACTATATATATGTGTGTGTATATATATATGTACAGTATCCATAATATATTGTATCCCTAAGTAATCCGTAAGTAACCATATCTCTCTATATAGATATATAAATACAAAATATGGAAATAATAAATAACCAAATTTAGGATGGGTTCTAGGCAAAGGAAATATTGGACTGGACTATCAATTGTTCCTGTTTTAGTTATTAAAGAAATCTAGGGACTAGAGGTATGGCTCAGTGGTAGAGTGCCAGATGTGAGGGGAGAAAAAAAATGAGAGTGTAATACCAGCAGGAAGGAAAGGGCAACAAAGGGTTATCTAAACTGAGTGGGGTTGTGAAACCTTTGTGTCTTTTATATTTGAACATTTTGCATGTTTTTAGTAAAGGAAGAGTAGAAAAGTACATATGAAATATAAATGGTCAAAGAGATGCATGCCTCAAATAAAAATGTGTGAAAATTGCCAGTTACTAAATCACTTGTCTTTTGTTCTTGCAGCCTAGAGGGACGATTTGAAGATGAGGAGCTGCAGCAGATTCTTGATGATATCCAGACCAAGCGCAGTTTTCAATATTAATCTCCAGATATCACTTTGCTCCTTGGGGGGAAACGTTCCCAGAAAAATTCCACCTGTCCAGGGTATAGATCTGCCCAGAAATTATATAGCAGAAGATAGCTGGGCTTCTTTAGGAGAGGACAGCCTAGCTTGCTGTTTCACGTGTGGCTGTGAGACCATGAGAACCATAGAATTGTGTTGTGGCTTTGCAGGTGTCCGCAGGGCCAACTAAGCAGGCCACTAGCTGGGAGGTTCCACCAGGGCAGGGTGCAGGCCACATTGTTGACTACCTCATACTGTGTTTGCTGTACAATGTTATTTGTATTTTAACAATTCATGTTAATGTCAATTTTATAGGGGTTTTGGTTTGGGTTGTTTTTTTTTTGTATTTTATTTTTTGCCAGTCCTGGAGCTTGAACTTAGGACCTGGGCACTGTCCCTGAGCTGTTTTTGTTCAAAGTTGGCCCTCTTACCACCTGAGCCACAGCGCCACTTCTGGCTTTTAGTGTGTATGTGGTACTGAGTAATCGAGCGCAGGTCCTCATGCATGCCAGGCAAGCACTAGGTCACATCCCCAGCCCCAAGAGTTTTTTTGTTTTTTGGTACTGGGGATCAAACCCAGGACGGTGCACTTGCTAGGCAAGCGCTTTGCCACTGAGCTACATCCCAGTCCCAATTTTATAGTTTTTGAACACAGCTTAAAGACCATAGAAAGTGTTATAGGGTAAGAACACTTATGTAGAAGGAAAAGGAAGGAATACACCTGATGAATTTGAATTTCATCATTTGAAAGGACAAGTGTGATTTTCTATCCATGTGACTAACCCAAGAGATAGATAGGAAGCCTGTCCTAGGAAGTATAGTGGGATTATGTCCTGTGGTATATGGCCCTGGGCCCTTAGCCTTGAAGCACAAATACATCTTTGGCTGTCTTGGAGAATGTAGATTTGGATTGGCCCTCAAGATTTTCCTTCATAGGCCAGGCTAAATAAGGTGTAAACACTTAGAAATTTCCTCCCATTTGTTATCTAGTTTCTACCTCTGTCCTTCTACAGGGGTTCTATGATACAGTGATATGGAGGGAAGGTTTCTAAGTGGGGGGAGATACAAATACCTAAACATTCTGGCTTTGATTTTTTTCTGAAGGGAAATATATGTCTTCCTCACAACTTGGGCTCTTTCTTTAACTTTATTTAATCATTTGTTCCCTCTAAAACTGAGATAGAATCCTTCGCCTACTCAGCAAATACTGAGAAAATAACAAATTTTGCTTTTAGAGTCATGATAGTCAGGCGCTACTAAGAAGGCTAAGATGTGAGAATCATGATTCAAGGCTCAGGCATGAAATTCTTCAGACTCTTCTCTCTACTTAATCACCAAAACTGGAGGTGGAGCTGTAGCTCAAGTGGTAGAGCTCTATCCTTGAGCACAAAAGCTCAAGGACAATGACCAGACCATGAGTTCAGAACCAGGACCCCAACCCCCCACTTACACAGTAAATCTTCCAGTTCCTGTTAGGTTGTTTTTGTTTGTTTGTTCATGGGATTTGAACTTGGGGCCTAGTCACTATCCCTGATTTCTTTTACTCAAGGTTAGTATTGTACCACTTTGAGCCACAGCTCTCCTTCTGGTTTTCTGGTGGTTAACTGGAGGTAAGAGCTTCACAGACTTACCAGTCTGGGTTGGCTTTGATCCTCAGATCTCAGCTGCTTGAGTAGCAAAAACTTGCTCTGAATTGGGAAGAAACAATTTTTGTGTGGGGTGGGGGTCGGTCGTGGGGCTTGAACTCTGGCCTGGGCACTGTCCCTCAGCTCTTCAGTTCAAAGCTCGCGCTCTACCACTTGGGCCACAGTGACACTTCTTGTTGTCTGGTGGTTAATTGGAGATAAGAGACTCATGAGCCGGGCGCCAGTAGCTCACGCCTGTAATCCTAGCTACTCAGGAGGCTGAGATTTGAGGATTGAGGTTCAAAGCCTGCCTGGGCAGGAAAGTCCGAGAGACTCTTATTTCCAATAAACCTTTAGAAAACTAGAAGTGGCACTGTGGCTCAAGTGGTAGAGTGCTTGCCTTGAGCTGAAGAGCACAGGGACAGTGCCCAGGCCCAGAGTTCAAGCCCCATGACTGACCAAAAAAAAGAAAAAAGAAACTCATGGGCTTTACTGCCCGGGCTGGCTTTGAACCACGATCTTCAGATCTCAGCTTCCTGAGTAGCTAGGATTACAAGTGTGAACCACCAGTACTCAGCTGAAACAAAAAAAATTTTAATCCATCTTTGTTATTAAATCGTTTTACAAACAGGTTGCAGTTAAAGTTAGGTTATGAGTACAATGTTTCTTTACCAATATCATACCTTCCATTTTTCGCCCTATTTTCTCCCTCCCATCTGTACCCTCAAATTACATAGTTTAATTCAGTTAGTACATAATGTATGTTGCCAATAATAACTGCTTACTCTGGAGGCAATAACATTTTTATTCTTGGAAAACTTTATTTTTTGTGTGTGTATGCCAGTACTAGGGCTTGAACTGTCCCTGATCTTTTTTGCTCAAGGGTAGTGTTCTAATGCTTGAGTCACAGCTCTGCTTTTGGCTTTTTGGTGGTTAATTGGTGATAAGAGTCTCACAGACCTTCCTACCCAAGCTGGTTTCAAACAGTGATTCTCAGATCTCAGCCTCCTGAATAGTTAGGATTACAGGCATGAGCCACCAGGACCCAGCTTTGACTTTAATTTTTTGGGCCTAATTGTTCAAAATTGTAAGAAATATTGTGAATATCCAAAATATAGTAGTCCCCAGTAAAGGTAAGGTATTATTACCATCAGGAAGATGAACAGGTATAGATAGGTGATATGTCAGTGGCATACATCCACATGAGTGTAAAATTTGTTTTTTTTGTCGGTCGTGGGGCCTGAACTCTGGGCCTGGGCACTGTCCCTCAGCTCTTCAGCTCAAGGCTAGCACTCTACCACTTGAGCCACAGCACCACTTCCGGCTTTTTTCTTTTTGCTTATGTGGTGCTGAGGAATCAAACCCAGGGCCTCATGAATGCAAGGCAAGCGCTCTACCACTGAGCCACCTTTCCAGCCCTCTCCTCCCCCCAGTGTAAAATTTTTATAGCAAGACAACTGATACTGGTATTTTAAGACTGGAAAGAAACCAAGTTGTTTACTCCCAGGGAACTGTTTCAATGCCAAGTAGTTACTGTGTATAGTATATGCTAGATTTTTGGGAGGGAAATGTGCTTTTAAAAAAAAAAGCCTGTTTTAAGTGTTACTATGAAGATAATTACAAAGGGGTTACTGTTTCATAAGTCAGGTAATGAGTATCTTTTTTCTCGTTTCAAGATACTTTATTTTCAAAACAGGTCCCAACACTAAGCTTCTGATAAGTATATTCCTTTATGGACAGTATCTTTGCTCTCTCAGTTTTTCCCTTCTGTCTCTATACTGCAAGTTTTATAATTCATTTTCAACATGGTGTCTGCTGAGTACAACTGTGCTGCAGTCGTTTTCAACGTAGTATCTACTGAGTACCGCTGTGCTGCAGGTGCTTTCATTTTTACTAGCATGCCCATCTATCTGCCATGTTTAACTCTGCTTTAAGCTTGTTAGGTGTTCTACCACTTAAGCTATGTCTTCTTTAGTATCTGTCATGAGTCTTTGGGCTATTAAAATGTTTAAAGCACCTGGCATATGTAATTGTAAATTTTTTTTTTGGCCAGGTCGTGGGGCCTGAACTCTGGGCCTGGGCACTGTCTCTCAGCTCTTCAGCTCAAGGCAAGTGCTCCACCACTTGAGCCACAGCACCACTTCTGGCCTTTTTTTTTTCTGCTTATGTGGTGCTGAGGAATCGAACCCAGGGCCTCGTGCATGCAAGGCAAGTGCTCTACCACTGAGCCACCTTCCCAGCCCTGTAATTGTAAATTTGTAAATGGGAATTATCAAAGTATGTCTGGGCACAGTGGCTTACGCAATCCCAGCTACTTGGAAAATGGACAGCAGGATTGTGGTTTGAGACCAGCCAAAGCAAAAAGTGAGACTTCTCAACAGCAATAAGATGTTGGAAGTGGTGCTGTGGCTCAAGTGGTAGAGTGCTAGTCTTGAGCTAAAGAGCTCAGGGACAGCACCCAGGCCCAGAGTTCAAGCCCATGACCAACAAAAAAGAAAAAAGAATCCAGGTATGGTGGTCTATGCCATCATCACATCTGTGTGGCAAGTGCGCACTCATGCGCGCATGAGTGTGTATGTGTGTGTGTAGTGCGCACTCATGCACGCGTGAGTGTGTGTGTGTGTGTGTGTGTATGTATGGAGGAGGACCAGAGCTTATCTCAAAAAATGGCCAAAGCAAAAAGCCCAAAAACCAGGTTGTGGGCCAACCTGTAGAGTGCCTGCCTAGCAAGTTCAAAGCCCTAAATTCAAACCCCAGTACAGTCAATAGGTTATGCCAGGTGGTACCAGTGATTCATGGCTGTAATCCGAGCTGAGGAGGCTAAGATCTGAAGATTGCGGTTCAAAGCCAGCCCACTCAGGAAAAATCTGTGAGGCTCTAATCTCCAATTAACCACCAGAAAACCGGAAGTGGTGCTGTAGTTCAAGTGGTATAGCGCTAGCCTTGGGCTGAAGAGCTGGGGGACAGCACCCAATCCCAGAGCTCAAGCCCCACAATTGACAAAAAAAAAAAAAAATCAAAAAGTTATACTTGGGAATTGTTAATGCACCTCCCACTATTGTATAGATGTAAATCCTGGTCTCCGATTCTGGTGGACAGCAATTGTTTGCTGTAGTCCCTGGATGGGATCCTGCTGTTCAGAATAGCAGGACACCCTGGCAAGAATCCTCAGACATCTGTGAAATTTAGCTCACTGTACTAAATATGTTGAAGGAAAAAAGAAAAGCAGGGGCTGGGAAGTTGGCTCAGTGGTAGAGTGCTTGCCTTACATGCCTGAGGCCCTGGGTTCGATTCCTCAGCACCACATAAGCAAAAAGAAAAAAGCCAGAAGTGGTGCTGTGGCTCAAGTGGTAGAATGCTAGCCTTGAGCTGAAGAGCTGAGGGACAGCGCCCAGGCCCAGAGTTCAGGCCCCACGACCGGACCTCCCCCCTCCCCCCCAAAAAAAAGCATCTGAAACAACAGACTGTTATCAACACTCACTTCACAGCTACCAGCTACATATATCAAGTCTGAAAATTCTATTGTCAGGTCATTCCTGTGGCTTAGCAGAACATTACAGGCTACTTATTTAATAAAGAAAGGCTGTTTACCTTGCCAGTAGTTTTGAAAGCTAGAAGTTCAAGCAGCATGATAGAGTCTGGTGGAGGAACTGGCTCTATCACATCATGGTGGGGGTATAGGTATGAGTTCTGTTTTTT